TTTAAATTTATGATTTTTCCTATGTACGTGTGGTCCATCTTATTAGTTACTAACTTGCTAATTGGTATCTGGTGGAAGAAATTATGAGTTGTGAAGGATATACTGCCCCAACCATTGACAAAGTGAAAGCAGCATGTGAAATTCTGAACTCTGGAAGTAACAATTTCAGGCGCTCCATGGAGAAGTAGAGATAAACTTGTTTTAACAGGAAAACAACTAACAAGATATTAATTAAAACAAACAAACAAATAGATCAATAAATCAAGTTCACTAACAAATAATGGAATGTTCAATTTTTGCACTTAATGTTACAGAGAAACCTAGCAACTAGAGAAATTAAATTAATCAGACAAATGATGCCAATGCATATGGCATGTTATGGTTAGGAAGTTTACATCAATTGCACGAGAGGTGCCATACCTTTTTTTATCTTCTTTTATTGAATTATCATCTGCCGCCTCCTTTGCTGGCTCTTCGGTCTCCTCCTCCTTCGGTTTAGCTACGGCTGCCTCAGCCGCAGCTGGAACTGCGAAGGAGGATAAAATTGGAGCCTCATTTTTTGGTTTAGAAAGATCTACCAATGGTTCTTCAACCTGTTTCTCTTTCTATTGCTCACCTTCATTCTCGGTCTTCACCTGCGCATTAACAACAAAAAAACAACATTGGGGAAATAGAAAAAACCTCATCTCTGATTATTTTGGAAATTAAAAGCATGTTCGGTCTTGGAGCTTTTAAAAATTATTGTTTTTTTTTTTTTGAATAAATTCATAAAAGATTGAATTCGAACCGTTGCTGAGGAGAATATACTTAACAAAATAATAAAATCATTTTAATAAGAATGATTGTTTTTTGTTGCGGTCAAGCGCCTGGGGACTCGGCTTCCATTCAGTGGCTCACTAATTTAATGGTCAAATGAACAAGTCAAACTATGCAACACATTCATGTTAAAAGAAATTTTATTCGTTTTCTCAAGGAAGAAACTTTATTCAATTTATTTAGTTTCAGCTACGAAGTGTACCTGAGTAGTGGGCTTGGCCTCTGGCTCAGCCATCTCGGGGCCGGTAGGAGGAGGAACCTCACGTGAATGCTTGGGTTTGCTCGCGCAGACTCCCATTGTAATTATTCCTCAAGATGTCGTCGGGACGATTGAACGAGGCTATGGAGAAGATGGAGGAAGAGGTGTGAGCCCATTGTAATTATAAGATTATGCTTTCGGATTTGAGGACAATTTTTGAGGCTAAGAAATGCAAATGAGGAAATTGGTTAATATAAGTGGAATTGTAAATGCCTCTGATGTTAATGACATACCTCTTATTAATTTATTTTTTATTTAAAAAATTATGATAAAAAATTATTATAATTGAGATATCGAAATGTTAGCGGAATAAATTTTTTTTTTTAAAGAAGAATCAAAAATGATTTTAAATGTTGTTAAGGCCTGGAATCTTTTATGATTGTCGTAAATGATTTTCTTCCTTTCATTCTCCTGCTATGATATGAAAGGTAAACAATTATTTTTTAATCGAGAGTACTGATTGGAGCAAGGTTTTTAAAATCGGACCGGATCGACTGGTTGAACCAGTCGGACCGGTACTCGGTGATGAAAATGGTTTGGTTTACATAAGAAAACCGTTTGATGTCAAAACTAGTCAAAATCGATCAAAAACCGGTCAAAATCGATAAAAACCAGTGAAAACCGATAGAACCGGTGGAACCGAAAAAACCATCGGTTCAATTTCTCATGCAATCTTCTTTCAATTTTTTCCAATTTCACCCTTCCCATTCCTTTCTTATACCCATTTTAATCTTTAATTTTAACAAAATTACAAATTATCAACACCAAATTAGAAAATCCATGCCTGCAGCTTGCCTCTCTCATCAAATCTTCCTTGCTGTTTGGATCGACCGGTTCACCGGTTGAATCGGTTGAACCAGTTAAACCAAAAACCAAACCTGAAAATGGTTCAATGACCGGTCCGGTTTTAAAAACCTTGGATTGGAGGTTGAAAAGTCGGAGCCTGAATTATAGGCTGACAAAATTTTTTGGCCGTTAACCAAAGGGTGATATGGTCCTCGCATGATCAACAATCGAGATAATTTTGGCCTAAAATTCACCCTCCAAATTTCAGCTTGAAATCATTTTTCTTTAAACAAATGCTTGAATATCAAAATGTTACGAATATTAATATGGTGTTAATGAATAATAACTAATCTTTCATGGCAAAAAATATATATTTGTTGGGAATACCCCAACATTCTACTTGGGCCATATTCAGCAAGCCCAGTAGTTCATCTTTAAATTCACAATGAAGACTTATCCAGATACTAATTCAGACATATCCACGTGGATGCATATAAAAGGACTAATAAGAGGTACACACGCATAGCTTTATGTTAGGACTTAGGGACTATAAATACCCCTAACTACCTTCATTTAAGATATTAACTCCACTACGCTTCTCTCTCTACAATTATTTCTTGAGAGCTTCTCTCTCTAAAATATTGAGTATTGCTAACTTGAGCGTCGAGTATTTTCTCGAAAAAACATCCTTGGGATTTTTCAAGTGTTAAAACAGTTGAAGATATCTATAGTGTAGGTTCGTGAAGCTGCCCAAACAATATTAAAATTAAAAAATAAAGCTTTATGAACCAAAAGATGTGCCTTCCAACCTCATGAGTTTAGTTTGAATCCTTTCCCCTATCCCAAAAAATTTACCTGTTCCAATAAATAAATAAATAAATAAATTGGCAAGCTAGGATATCACCTCAGCAACACCCCAAAAAGAAAAAGAAAAGTGACAGATCATTAAACTTGATTGCATATTTT